CCTTCCCTGGTGTATCTCTGCTTCAGTTTCTTCAGCTTCAGTCTTGTTTTCATTCATAAATTTCAGATGCAAATCACTTCATTCATAAAATTTTCACTTTTGTTTTCATTTTCCACCTTCGCAGTTTTCACGGCACTTAACCGCTCATTGTTGTTGTAGCTGTTGTGCGGCTGTTGTGTTGATATTGCGTAAGTAAACTGAACGCATTTGGTCTTGTTGCCGGTCCGCCGGCGCACATAGAAACAGGTTGCATTATCGGCTATTAAATATGCAAATACCGCATACTTCATTTAATTGATAAAAATCTGATAGGCGGCGAGCATTTGTTGACTGTGTTGAATACACAATTTAGTCAATGAAAGCATTTAAGCTAAAATTAAACGGACTTAATTTCAATCACTTCATTTATGCTTCATTATTATTTTACCATCGAAAAGAGCTTTAATATAAAAATTATTCTTTCCCTTTTCATTCAATATCCCTGTTAGCAAAAATATTCGCTCATGCAAACATTTAATTTTTAAAAACTTTACGTACATACCTATATATAGCTTCAATATAATATATATTTACATAGCCTCAATATATACCTCGAAGTGCGAACTGTTAGAAGCGTTGATGATTGTACCATTAGAGTAACGAATGCTTTATAAAGGAACAGTGAAACTGCTTTGATCTAGATTATATAGAAAAAGAAAGAGATATCTTTACCGAGTTGTTATGTTTCAACAGTGTCGTAATCCAATAAGAGGAATGAAGAAGGAGTACAGGAATTACATGACATAGAGGGATCAATCAATCACAAAGCGTCTTATTGTCTCTAGACATTTTTCTCACTCACTTGACAAAGGTAGTGAAGATGTAGTTATCAGATATATTAAACTTCATTTGGAAAAATAAAGAGTTTACCAAAGATACCACATAGAGTTAGATGAGAACAACGGTTAGAGCAGCTAACCTCATTATCTTATTTCTCTTATTTATATATTCTATATATTCTATATTCAACTGAATAATAATAAGCATATTTAAGCTTAGATATAACTAAAAGGATAAGCAAATGCGAGTTCAAATAAGAAAAGTATCGAATTGCTGTCCGACAATTATTTTCGAACGTAACCTAGATATTCTAGTAAATGTAGTTGTGCAATTCGTCGTTAGCTAAAAAATATATATATTTAAAAATTAGTGAAGTATCTCTTAAATACACTAAGTGATTCTTTATTAATACAAAAAATGTAAACTGCTGCAAAGGCATACCGAAAAATTAATGCAGTTTACGATTAGATGATGCGATACGAGTGAACGCCGGAGTCAGAAGTGATTTGTTCGATGCAATTCTGCAACGATTGATATCGAAGATCCATTTCGATCTGATTGACCAGTCACAATAAAATTTTGCAACTGGTAAAGGAAGGCTAACGCACAAGCTGCAAGGATATAGCTGTTCGCTAGCTTTAACCCCATGAAACTTTAAATTCAGCGGAGTAGGCAAAGACAGTCGACGTTTGGGTGCCACATAAATTAAGTAAGGAAACATTAAGAAAGCACTAGCATTATCGCTAGTGCAAAACTATTGATGCAACGAAATCGAATTAATTTCAGAGAATATCCATTAACTAAGAGAATATCCAACAGAAGCGGTATGGTCAAAGGTTCGTGACCCTTTAAAAACGACACCGAAGCTTGGATTGGTGGCAAAGAAGGTTATGTTGAGTGTTTAGTGGGATTTTCTATTACGTGCTGTTTCAGTTTGGTGTAATAGTAAGGGAAAGCAAATGGGATTTTTGTTTAAAAATGTACCACAAAACTGCAGATACTTTCCATTAACATTCTTTAAAGAAATGAATGGTATACCTATCAACAATTGAAGGTAAATTTATAAAAAGTATATAAGAAAATGTATAGTCTTTTTTATGGGAATGATAGCAGCTAGATATAGTAAAGTAAAATTTTATTACAATGAAGTAAAATTTTTATAACATTAATTTCAATTAAAAATTGTATTCAAGTACTCAAAAATTAATTTAACTATGAATTTCAAATTAATAAAAAAATAAATAATTTCTCTGTTGACTTACCATTTTCCTCAGAAAAAGCACGCTGTGAACGCATTACAAGAGACCTGAAATAAGAAAAGGAAATTTAATTTATTGCTAAGCAGCACAGGCAAAATCTTTCAAATCAGTTGCTTAATTAGATTAGAATTTTGGCCGTAGACCT